GTATTATGCAACAAATTGCCCACTTCAAAACATTGAGCGTCTTAATGAACCACAAGTGCTGTGTACACATTGTGTGGGCAGTTGTGATTTTTGAACAGTGATTGGATGTCAGGCTGCTTTATTTAATAACCATTTTTGAAGTTGGTTAAGCACTAGTTGATTAGAGTCCAGTTTCATGTCATATTGCTCACCTGAAATACCACTACTTTTACAGCACCTTAAGAGTCCACCTCACGCTCTCGTGTATTATTTACTATCTGTCAGAACCGTGCTCCGGTGTTTTTCACCAGCGTTAGAGGAGCCTGCCAGCCCTCACGCACCGCTCAGCTCTCAGTGCACCATTTAAGTTCTCACAAAGCAATCTCAGGTAGCACTCCATCCCGCTTCTTCCTCCGGTCCCACGGCCGCCGCTAATACCACAGTACAAAGAGGCTCCGGAGAGAGGCGATAAGGAGAGATTTGAGGTGCCGTTCACATCTGGCCTCATTTCTCGCACCCAGCAGCTGTTATTTATCGACTTTAATTACCCCATTAATAAGGGAATATACGTTGTTGGAGAAATGGTAATCTTCTAAAAGCACTCACCTTCCAAAAATGGAGAGCGAGTGCTGTTTACAGGCGCCTGTGCTTAATTACGGGAGGGGGAACGAGTAAATATGTTATTTGTGAATTAATACGGTTTGTAAGATGAAACGAGAGCGTAGGATTTGTTTGGACCGTGTGGTTGTTATTAGTTTGCCCCAGAGGGCAGGAAACGCACAACTACACACAACACGCACCCAAAGTACAATTAGTTTAGCCTTTTACTGACTAAAAATATCTAAAAAAGCTTTGTTTGTTTTTTTTATGTCCCGCAGGAGTCTTTTCGTTTCTACGCAGACAAACTGAATAAGCAGCGCTCTGAGTCCATGGAGCCGGCCAACAACTAAAAACAACTTGTCATTTATTCTTTTTTTTGTTTGTTTTTTTACATTCAACATATGTGCACAGCTTGTGTGTTAGTTATACTGTGATTGTTTGTTTGTTTTTTGCCCTTCATAATGATGTCATGATATGGTTAATGTGTACATAGATATTTATGCAAATAAATGTAAACCCAAAACTTTAGTGGCTTTTTCATAAGTTTCTTTTTAATCTTTTCTTTTGTTTGTTCCTGGAGTGATTGTCACACAAGAGATGATTTATCAAAATGCAAATATGTTCATAGAAGATGCATTATATTAAACATGGGTGATTTGCGATATGCTCATATAGTCAATTTATGCTTAGTTATATTAATACATACTATATAATAAACATCTCATTGGAGCAATCATGGAAGCTGTCATGCATCCTGTTTTTTTTCTGGATTTAACAAACGTGCAAAAACATACATTATCTAGCTTTTAAAACACAAATGCATTTTTGGTGTGACTTACAAAACCTTTCAAAAGATTTTTGATCTAGCCACATTGGCACAAACTTTCTTAAGCAGTAAAATCTTCTACATGTTTAAATAAATGAACATTTAGACTGCAACAAAGAGAAGCTGTTTATGGATATTTACCAAAGCAGAGCTATAATCTCTTGCCAATTTGAACAAAAGTGTGTAAGGAAACGAACGGAACATTGCTGCCATCCAGTGGCTATCAGCGGAAGTCTAAAGAGATCTCGGAATGACCGTTGGAGCACCAGCTCTTCTTTTCTGCTGTCTTTACTAGCATGGGTTTGACCTCTGACCTCTCTCATGACAGTATTGTTTAATAAAAATATTTTTAGGATGCTTTAAATATAGAACGTTCAAAAGAGCAGCATTGATTTGAACATTAACAACAGCAGCATTTATTATTCTATAACGTTATGTAACGTTGCTGCATGTTTGAGTGTTTTTTTGCAGTGCAGCTCATACTCCTGAGGTTGGCTGTCCCAAAGGGAGGTAGACGGCTGATTTCTCTTCTGTCAGGAAGCTCGGGAGACTCATTCTGAGAGGATTTGTGCAAGCCAAATGTGGACGGCACAGTAAAAGCTGATGAGATGCCATAGAGGGATGACATTATCTTTCAAGAGCTCTTAGCAAGCTCAGTTGCATCATTACATTTTAAAATTATATATAAATGATGATATCAAAACCGTTTGAAATATACTTCTTCAAATGGATCTGCCATGTTTGTCTTTGCAGAAACCTACACTAAAGTCTTATACAAGCATGTCCTTCATTTTAGCAAGCATTGCTGCTTATGCTTTTCCCTGTCAGATATTTTAAGACTACTCGTCCACCGTATTTATGACCATCAGAGGGGCAAAGTAATGGTGATGAATATAAAAACACATGAACATTGTATTAGATGAAAAAAAGCTGATCACTGGATTTGATCTATACCAAGTCATACATAACATTTTTATAGACCTCGCGTTAGTACAGACCCTAACAAATCTCACATCTGTGTACATTTATAAAGACTTCATCCACAATTCATCATCTTTTTCAACAGGAATTAAGTTTTTTTCGTGTGATTGTGCGAGACCTCTGATTAATTAGCCGCTTCAGGTAAATAGCTAGAAGAATAACAGTGTGGTAAACAGTAAAATTATTGGATTATGGATAAGTCATAATAAAATGTAAAAAGTCTAAATTGTATGAGATGATAATTCTGACATAAAAAGTCAATTATGAGATGTCAAAATTGACAAAAAGTCAAAATTATGACTAGTCTTTTTTTTTACTTTTTATCTCATAATTTTGACTTATGTCACAACTTTTTAACTTATCGACGAGTAATCACTCTCATAATTTTGATACTTCATGTCATGATTATGACTTAGCATGTCATTATTGCAACTTTTGTAGTTTTTGTTTTTTTCTTAGACTTTCATTTTTTATCGTAATTATGACTTCTTATCTCAATTTTGACTTTTCATGACTTTTCATGATTTTGACTTGTCATAATCATCACTTTCATCATTTTGATACTTCATGTCATAATTATGACTGTCATTATTGTGACTTGTCATTCTTTTTTTTTCTTAGACTTTCATCTTTTATCATAATTATGACATCTCATAATTTAAACTTTTTGTCATGATTTTTTTTTTTTTTTTGACTTGTCATAATCACCACGATCATAATTTTGATACTTCATGTCATGATTATGACTTTTGTCATTATTGTGACTTTTGTCGTTCTTGTTTTTCTTAGACTTTCATCTTTTATCGTAATTATGACCTTTTATCTGATAATTTCGACTTTTTGTCACAACTTTTTTCATGATTTCGACTTGTCATAATCACCACTTTCATAATTTTGATACTTTGTGTCATAATTATGACTTGGTATGTCATTGTTGTGACTTTTGTCATTCTTGTTTTTTTTAGACTTTCATCTTATAATTAACACTTTTTATCTCATAATTTTGCATCATAATTATGACATAGTATGTCATTCTTTCAACTATATGTCATCAGTATTTTGTGTTATGTCTTATGATTTACCAATGCATTTTTCTTACGTGGCAGATTTGGACTACCATACATAAATATGGTGGATATGTCATGTGACTGAAACATGAATAAGTCTAAAAATGTTTCTTTCTCTTAATTTTCCAGAAACAGTTGACACCAAATAACAGACATCTTTTGTTTAAGACTGGAATATTTCCAGTATAAATTTGTTCCTGTGACACTGACCATGTGTTATTTATTTAATTGCTCAATACAAGTAATGTTTGAAACATCAGATCAGTAGTTCTTCTTTTCTTTTATTTTTCTTCTGGTTATAGTTTCTCTCTCTCTCTCTCTCTCTCTCTCTATCTCTATCTCTCTCAAATTCAAATTCAAATGAGCTTTATTGGCATGACTTGCACAGTATTGCCAAAGCATTGTCCATTACATGAATAAGGAATAAACAGTTATATAATACATAAACAAAACAACAATAGATATGTAAAATAATTAAGTAAATAAGTACATGTACTTTTTTTTTTTTTTT